AAGTATATTTGTTTATTTATAAGTACATATATATAGTCTATATTGTTTCACAATTTATAACTTACACTGATAGACACTGCATGTAGGCATATAGACAGGAAAATTTAAAAATTAATGTTCACAGAAAAAAAACGTGTGTGCACTTATTTATGTACGCAGTACGTAAGAAGTTATACATACTTCTTTGGAGTAACAGAACAAAAATAGCTAAAGATTTCATCCCGTATGTCAAAACTCTGTTTGTAAAAAAATGCAGCTAACTTCATCATGTTGTTTTTGCTGACGGCGTGCTCATCGAAAAATTTTACTCTCGTATATTTTTTTTCAAACTTGCCAAAACAAGTATAACTTCCAAAATAATAATAAGTAAGTAATATAATAAAAAATTAAAATAATAGTATTAAAAAATACAAAAATGAAAAAATGATTTTTATTTCACGACCTGGGCAATTTTCATAGATAGTAATATTTTTTTTTATTTTACTTGGGGAATCAAAAATCCATTAGTACCTAAGTATAATTTTTGGAAGTCGGTTTTAAAAATTGATGGAATAGTAAACATAAAATATATAATTGTAATTTTCTGAATGAACCGTTCCAATCTCATTTTTAACTTGTGGCGGTTGTGTGCCTACTTTTTTCTTTTCTTTTTAAAATTGTCATGTTCCAATGTTACTGTAAAAAGTATTTATTCAGTAAGAAACAAAATATACTACAATTAAATTACTCGCTTTAATAGATATTACTTATGGAATCAGCATAAACGACTTCGAAAAAGGAGGAGGTTCTATGTTCGGCTGTATGTATTTTTTTTCTTTTTTTATACATATATGCTCTACGAATTATTAATGAAAATAGTACCATGTAAACCTAGCATTAGTTCTGACACTGCACAAGCCACACCATTGTTCATAAAGTCGATCGTATAGCTTACCACATAGTTTTGGTTTTGCGTTTGGAATAAGCAGTTTTAAGTTAAGTCGATTTTGCTGTTTAATTCAGCTAAATCGAAGTTCTTTCTTAGCTCATAGTACATATACATACATATATCTTTTATCTTTAAACTTGTTTTTTAATTTAACTGATACAAATATAATTTTCCTTATTTTTAAAGAAAGTAAACTGTCTGTATAGCTAAATCTAGATTAGTAGCATAAGCAGCAAATGATGCTACTATTTTTGACTTTGACATTTCTTTTGGCGGACTCCGTCTATATCAATTTTTAGTCTAAGATTAGCATTTACACATATGCTACAAACTACGAGTACAATCGTTCGTAAAACCATAATATTAGAAAAAAGTATAGATCAAACATTGAGACCATCTGTTGCAATAATTTACGAGTCAAATTGCGGTTAGCAACTTCGATTTGTCAGCAGTTACACTGAAATACTTACTACTTACTTAGGTATTTGGAAATTTAATTTATGTCGTACTCGCCACTAAGGAAAATGATATTATACCACATAGATCAGCAATTTTTGCCTCGACCCCGGTCGAGTGGTACGTTTGTAAATAAATGAAAATATTTTTTGTAGAAAATCATGTTATCGTCTTCTCCGCAACAATTTATGGGTCACAAACCGTACAACACTTATTCTCTAGCACTACACTTTACTCTCTTAACGTTCTAGATTGGAATTGTAATTAAAAACATTTTTTATAATACATATTATTTATTTTTCAGCACATCTTCCTTGCTCGGTATCTAGCAAACGAATGGCTTATTTTCCGACTTTTTTTTTTAATTTCGAGTCAAAATAAAATCTATATTGTCAATAAATAATTATTTAACTCTGGGCGGAAAGTGTCAATTGAGATACCAAAATATTTGTAATATAAAGTTTCGTGATTTATTATATATAATTTTGCTTAAAAACAAAAAATATCTAAAGCCGGTAACAATCAATTAAAAAATAAATAAAAATAAAACAGAAAGTTTAGCAAGGTTTATTGTCCGGTAATACTTTTTACAGTGACATTGCAACATGACAATTTTAAAGAGAAAAGAAAAAAGTAGGCACAGAACCGCAATAAGTTAAAAAAGAGGTTGGAACTGGTCATTCTGTAAAATTAAAATTATAAACATAAACATAAAATATTACTATTCCAACAATTTTGAAAGTCGCCTTCCAAAAATTATACTTACTAATGGATTTTTGGTTCCCCGAGTAAAATAAAAAAAAACGTCGGGAACCAAAAATCAAAATAAATCCGCGAAATAATCCGAAAAGATAGTTATATTTAATAAAAAATATATTACTATCTATGAAAATTGTCCAGGTCGTGACATAAAAATCATTTTTTCATTTTTGTATTGTGTTATACTATTTTTTAATTTTTTATTGTATTACTTACTCGTTATTATTATTATTTTTGAAGTTAAACTTCTTTTGGCACGTTTGAAAAAAAAATATATGAGAGTAAAATTTTTCGATGCGCAACACCGTCAGCCAAAAAACGACATGATGAATTTAGTTGCATTCCATTTACAGAGAGTTTTGACATACGGGATAAAATATTTAGTTATTTTTGTTCTGTTACGCCAAAAAAGTATAACTTCTTACGTACTGCGTAATAGCTACTGTATAAGCTAATCATGCATTCTGTTATATATCACCGGCATTTTACTGATAAATGTGAACAGCAAAAGTGTCCTAAATGGGTCTATTTAAACTATTAATTCTGAAATTGCCTAAATAAAGCGCGGACATCCACATCCTAGTGCTCATTTAGATTTTATATTAATTAGCAGGGAACTTGATGTGATTTCCCATAATTCCGAGGAGCTTAAAAAAAAGTTTATAAATATTTATATTTTTAACTTTAAAAATAACATATTCTAATAATAGCTGATAATCACTACATATTATATATAAAACAAAGTCCTCCGCCGCGTCTGTCTGTCTGTCTGTCTGTTCGCGATAAACTCATAAACTACTGCACCGATTTTCATGTTATTTTCACCAATAGAGTAAAGTAAAGTGGTTCTCGAGGAAGGTTTTAGTATAAATTTGTAAAATTTTTGTATCATCGGCTAAAATATAACGATATAATATGTTGGAGGTGTCGGAAAAAAATAAGCTGTCTGGGAGCTTTCAACGAAAACGCTGCCTAAACCTTTTGAGATATAACAAAATAATGTATGGTGGGATTGTGTATCTTATATAGATCTACAGAAAAATCTGCAGTGGTATATGTCTATTTCTTAAGGATAACATACTATATCCATTTTAATAGTTTAAAAAATTGGTAATTATAATGCGGTAATGTAAAAACTATTTACACAAATACGGTATTAATACTTATCATTTTAAATAAGTTAGAGGCTTTAAGCATTTCTTGCACATTATTTTACTCCTTTACACCATATAATTTAAATGAATGTCTTAGGAGTAATCGCAAAAAAATAACGGATGCGAGTATAAAATTCAAGCGACTCGCTTCGCTTGACGCTATGGCCAAAACGTATTGCTGGTTAATATAATAAAATCACAACATATATGTATAATATGACTAGCAGCTCACCCTCGATACGCTCGTGTTCACCTCTACATAAGCATGAACAAATCTATCCGGGAACCATTCATTTATCCGGGAAAAAAGTAACCCGTTGTTTGACCGGCAATATAAGCATGCCAAATACTTAATTAGGTGCATAAGTCGTTGTGTAGTAAGCTGTATAAGTAACTATATTTTTTAACTATCCCACGGGACCCTTTAATTGTACGGGATGAAAAGTATCTAAAATGTTGACCGGTACCGTACCACCATGCAAAATTTCATTTAAATGTGTCTAACAATTTTGGAGATTAGCCCGTACAAACAGACAAACAGACAGAGTAACAAAAAAATTGTAAAAAAAAACTGGATTTGTTCTATTTATCTTCTTACACCCCCCTGATTCATTCTTTTTTCTATATACAGACATTCGACCTCTACAGTTTTATTATATGTATAGATAAGATCAAGTACATTTTGTTAACAAAAAGTTTTTTAATATTCATATTTTTAACTTTAATAACATACATATTTCTAAATTTAAAACTTTAATCTTTTACTCAAAATAATACCTGATTATAAATGACATTAATTAATAAAATAAAATCTTAACAGATACAATATAATGGTAATGTAGCCATGTATTTCATGTTCTTTTTAGGATATATAAAATTGAGGTTTTATTATGTGTATAGATAAGATCAAGTACATTTTTGTTAACAAAAAAGTTAATGAATATTCATATCTTTAACTTTAAAAACATATTCCTAAATTTAAAACTTTAATCCTTAACTTAAAATAATAACTAGAATATAATAATATTAATTAATACAATGAAATCTCAACACATACTATATAATAGTAATGTAGCCATGTATTATGTGTTCTTTTTGAGGATATATAAAATAAGAAATATAGTGTTACAACATTTTGACAAAAATAAAAAAATATTATATTAAAAAAAATTGTTTATATTAATATTGGTTTGAATAAAATGATGACCAAATTAAAAAAAAAGCCTCCTGTTTTTTAAAATTAAATTATATTTCTATGCAAGTTTATCTATAGAGTTTATGATATTTTGTTTTAAATAAAAAAAAACATTTATTTGATAATACGCTTTATATAGTATAGAACGGAACGGAAGTGAATTTCGAAAACGGACGGAGCGCTAATCACGTTGTTTTATAAAAAAAAAATTAAGGGTATCGGCTTCTACGCAATCGCCTCGCATCTTTTATAGATAAGAGCGTTATTATACAGGACTTTCTTCTCATTCATTATGATAAGTATAGATTATTTAAGCTATATAAGCTTCAATAAATGTATAAAAGTACATACGGTAGAAAAATTTATTCAACTTACGAAATAATAAGGTGCTTTTAATCATTATAATGCAATGAGCGTGGTCTCCCTACTCGTTTTATACCTGCGATACTTCCTACTATATATACTGAATAATATCAACGACTTAGCATTTCATATTTAGAGCTCTAAAATGATTATCCTATATCCGATAGTATTACTTGTTTGTGCGTTGTATTACTACGCTACCAAAAATTACAATTATTGGAAAAAAAGAAATGTGCCATATATCAAGCCTTTACCATTTTTCGGTAATTATGCAGAATATATATTATTTAAGAAAACTGGACCACAAGTGGCGCATGAAATTTGTGAAAAGTTTCCAAATGAACCATACGTTGGAGTATACTATGGTACAGATCCCGCTTTAATCGTCAAGGATCCTAATATTATAAAGCTGGTGATGACTAAAGATTTTTATTATTTTAATCAACGTGAAATATCCGGACATCTCCATAAAGAAGTAATAACACAAAATATGTTTTTTTCTGGCGGTGACAGATGGAAAATTTTACGTCAAAACATGACTGCGTTGTTTTCTTCTGCAAAACTTAAAGCCATGTTCTATTTAATTGAAAACTGTGCAACGAATTTAGATAAGTTGTTAAACGAAGAAGTGAAAATGACGACAACCTTAGAAGTAAAGTCACTCCTAGCAAGATATACAATGGACTGTATAGGAACATGTGCATTTGGTGTCCACACCGGTACACTGGAAAGTCATTCAAAAATTAACCCTTTTGCAGTAATTGGAGATAAGATATTTGACTCCTCAAATTATGGTGGATTTAGACTCGTCACTCGCGCAATGTGGCCTGATATTTTCTACTCTTTAGGATTTCAATTGTTCCCAGAAAGTATAAGCATTTTTTTTAAAACTTTGCTCACGGATGTATTCAAAAGTCGTCAGAATAAAGCGTCATCACGGAATGACTTTGTAGATCTCCTTCTGACTTGGAAAACTAACAAATACTTAGTTGGAGATAGTATGTCAAATATAAAATCAAGCCAAAATGATAAAAAAACGACAGAATTAGAAATCGATGATACATTACTGATTGGCCTTTGTACGTTAATATTTTCAGCTGGCTATGAAACAACATCCTCTACGACGAGCTATTTATTATTTGAATTATCAAAAAATCAAGAAGCTCAGACTAGAGTAATCGAAGAAGTTGATGATTACTTTCGAAGACACGATGGGAAAATAGAATACGAGTGCATTAACGAGATGCCCTACCTCCAAGCTTGTATAGAAGAAACTGAACGACTGTATCCCGTTTTAGGAACCCTTACTCGGGAAGTTTCAGAAGAATATACCTTACCATCAGGTCTTTGCTTAGAAAAAGGCATGCGTATTCATATACCAGTAAACTATCTTCATTACAACTCAGAATACTTTCCAAATCCCGAAGAATTCCGACCGGAACGCTTCTTTGGTAATGAAAGGAAAAACGTTAAACAATTTACCTTTATGCCCTTTGGAGAGGGACCAAGGATATGTATAGGTAATCTTATTTATATTTTTGCATATATATGTTATAGTCAAATGGCTAAATACACTGCTTTATTTGACTTTATGTAAGAATTTAAGAAGTTTAAAATAAATTTAAATAAAATGGGCATTATTTAGTAATTAAACCAACGGTAATATTTGAAGTGTTTCCAAAAATACTGACCACAGAGGCGCAGATCTCGTTGCCTAGGTGGCTGTTTTTACATAACCAGCACTAACTATTTAATATTTTATAAATATAAAGCGAATATTAATATTTAATTACATTTAACTACTTAGTAACATATATAGTTGAGATACAATGAATTTATGTATATAATATAATAATCTTTTTATTCCCAGGTCTTCGTTTCTCAAAAATGCCAATGATTGCAGGACTTTTAACAATATTCAGGAAGTATCGAGTCGAATTAAGCGATAATATGCCTACAAAAGTGAAGTTCGATCCGCGATCAATCGTAACTAACCAACCTTTTGGTGGAATCCATTTAAATTTTATCCCACGTCAAATTAATTAAAATGTAATTTTGTCAAGTAAAACTAAGAACCAAACTAAAATATCTGTAGTACTGTATCCTAGCTTATATACTTGAGTTTAGCTTTGTGTGTTTGGTCTCGATTGAAAAAAATTATGAAAATATTATTATGCATGTAACTATCTTCTTAAATAAATGATATTTATTGAATAGCATAGTGGATTATGGCCTGATGCCCCTTCGCATTGAATGAAGGCCTACCCCCAGCAGTGGGACGTTAAAAAGGCTGAATATGTTGCATTTTTTCTAGTGAGGGTGATTTTTAAAAGAAAATGTAATATGTATAAATTATGGTAATTTCTACAATGTAGTCATATTAAATAAAACTACTTTTCGGATTATTTCGCGGTTTTATTTTGATTTTTGGTTCCCGACGTTTCGAATGCTTTACAGTAATCATGGTCACAGGAGAGACTAAGGTTATAGACGTCTCAAACATATATACTTGTTACAGACAGTGTCTACCCACTATTTTACAAAAATGATTTCAAAAATTCAAAAATGGCGATAAAGTACCATACAATATTTGTTGATTTTTAATTCTAAACATTTTTTTAAAAATTTATTAAATATTATAATTAAATATAGCAATATTATTTATTTAGTTTTAGCTGTTATTATTATAAATATTACAATTTTTAAAAACTTTATTATTGCTTACCATGGAACTAAAGATACTGCTGTGTCAACACACATGTCCCAACATATTCTTATTTAATTACATATGTATCCTTTTTTTTTAATTATAAAATATGTCCGATTTTACATGCATTGATATATCAATACCTGCAAGGAATAATATTGTACCTAAGTTTTGTAGCTATGGACTTTAAATATATGAAAAGCAATAAAAAAAAATTATCTCAATGTAGAGTTACAATTGCTGTTTTTTTCAGTCGAATGAATGCATACTAATTGATGATGTGATTATGATGTTCTCCTGACCGATTCCGGCCACGGCGGCCAATCTCATTGAGACTAGCCAACTGCGCAGGAGATATTATAGTGCACAGGTGTACGCGCAGACACAAGTGCACTCTCTATTCCTGTCACTCTCATACTCCGGTGGGACGACTACTCGACACGACCAGTGAGAGTTAAGGCGCAGGACCGACGGCTTTACGTGCTCTCCGAACACCGCCAACTTCCCAACTCCGGGCTGTTACTGAGGCTTAATATACAGAAAGACTCAATAACTAAACTTGGCCCGACCCGGGACTCGAACCCAGGACCCCCGGGTGTGCAGCCGTACATGCTAGCCACTACACCACCGAGGCAGTTATTATTATATATTTTATTACTAATTATAGTAGTAATGTAATAAAAATGTATGTAGGTATGTACATTCTACTCTTAAGTGTTTATTTATTATTATTACATCGATATTTTTAGCTAAGCAAAAACATTGTAGACAAAAAATGAATAGTCGTTTTTATAACGATGAAAAAAATCAATGTACAACAACGTGTAACATAAGAACGTATTTTGACTGCTTTTAGTTTTAGTTTATTTATAGCATTACGTGACCTTAAAGAGTATATTTTATTTTTATTTTAAAAATATCTTTATTTAACCAACATAATTATAAATCACTTAATTATGTACAACAGTGACAAAGTACAAGTCTGAACCCGGGCGGAGCCACGGGTAATGCTAGTTATCTAAAAATAGCAAAAAAATCACGCTTTTTGTATGGGAGCCCCCTTAAATATTTATTTTATTCTATTGTTTTGTATTTGTTGTTATAGCGGCAACAGAAATACATGATCTTTGAAAATTTCAACTGTTTAACTGTCACGATTCATGAGATACAGCCTGGTCACAGACGGATAGACAGACGGACGGACAGCGGAGTCTTAGTAATAGAGTCCCGTTTTATCCTTTGGGTACGAAACCCTAATAAACTACTCTAAAATACTCTGTTGTGAACGCAGAGCCCGAACCATACTCGAAACGTGCGGTTTCTCGATAACCAATCACAGCGCGAGGACCTTGGGCCCCCATCAGGTGCTGGCATACCTCGATAAGCTATCTTTCTCGCACCTATGGCTACGCATAAGACTTTTTTGTAGTACTAATTTGTAAACTTTATTTACTAGGAATGGTTTATAACCGGTAAATTCGTCTGGTGATTTGCAATTATTATTGAAAATTACTCAATAAATACGTGATTAAAATTTCAGATTGCTAAAAGTATATTTTTTGGGAATTTTAATAATGCATCTTTGGAGAGGTTTGGCAATACTTTATAACCAACAAAAACGTCTGGGGTTCTTTTTTTGAATTATATGAAGACTAAATTAAAAGTATAAATAAAAATCAAGTTGCCAAAAATATGTTTTTTTGGATATATTTTTTCGCAAAGGTTATATACTGCGCAGTAACGAAATAACCGCTAAAGCTATACCAGACTCGCGCGACTGGACTCGCCAATTCACGAAATTATATTTTTTCACAATTTCCACTTGCCAAAAGGACCTTCCCAAAATTCGTCACGAGCTCTCGGGCTATCAGTTTGTACTTACTGTGCCAACGGGTTCGTCCCGTTGGGGACATTTGGTTTGGGGGCTTTGAGGGACGATTTTTTAAGAAAGAAATGACGGATTCTCCACACATTTCATTATCTATTTCATTAATTTCATTTTTTTATATTAAATTATACACAAAATCGGTTACACAATTTAGGCGTGGGCACAATATAACAAACAAACAGAAAAAGAGACAGAAAACTAGCTCCTCGCTTACGGTAAATACTTGATTTTTGTTGTTCTCGGAACATTGCCAAAGCGAATTTTACGTACTTAATAATTAAAATTGAAGTATCCTTTAGAATTTATAGTATTACATTTTGAATTGCATGATACTAAAGTTAAACAATTACGAGAAAAATAAAGGGTTCCTGTGGGATAGGGATAAAAGTTTTGTGCATTTTTATAGTAAAGGGAGGCCTATTTCTACTGCTTATTAAAATGCACTGACATTCACATTAATTTTACAAACAGGAAGGAAGCTTGATGAGATTTCTCATCATCCCGAGGAGTAATAAAAAATATTACGAATATTCATATTTTGAAATTCAAAAATTTAATAAATACAATAAAATCGTAACACATATTAAATGATAACATAAAGTGATTAAGTATTTTGTTTGTAAAATTTTTTTATAAATATTCATATTTCTAACTTCAAAAACAACATGTTTATGCTACAAAATGCTAAAAAAAAGATTTAATACATAAAAAACTCGATATTAATGTAGCCATGTATTTTATGTTATTTTTTTTTAAGTATAAAATAAGATATATAGTATTACAACATTTTAATAAAAACAAAACAAAATACATTAAAAAGTGTTTGTATTAATATTGGTTTAAAAAAATATATTACCAAAATAAAAACACTCTTTTGTTTTTGGCAACTAAATTATATTTCTATGCAAGTTTATATAAAAAAAAAATAAAAAAATATGTCTTTCGTTTGATAATATACACTTATACAGTGTAGAAAGTTCAAAAACGGACGGGGCGCGAATAATCACGTTATTGTATAAAAATTTAATTTAAGGATATCGGCTTCTACGCAATCGCCTTTTACATACATCTTTTATAGATAAGAGCTTTTTTATATAGAACTTTCTCTCATTTATTATGATGTATAGATTATTAAAGCTATATAAGTTTCAATAAATGTATAAAAGTACATCCAGTGGAAAAATATATTCAATTGAAGAAATAATAAGGTTATTAAGAGCATAATAAGATTGCGATGAGCGTGGTCTCCCTAGTTGTTTTGTATTTACGATACTTCCCACTATATATTACTAAATAATATCAATGATTCCATGCATTTCATATTCAGTGCTCTAAAATGATTGTCCTATATTCAATAGTGTTACTTTTTTGTGCGACAATATGTTTGTTTTATTATTACGCTACCAAAAATTACAATTATTGGAAGAAAAGAAATGTGCCATATATAAAGCCTTTACCACTTTTCGGTAATTATGCAGAATATATATTATTTAAGAAGACTGGAGCACAAGTGGCGCAAGAAATTTGTAAAAAGTTTCCAAATGAACCATACGTTGGGGTATACTATGGTACGGATCCCGCTTTAATCGTCAAGGATCCTAATATTATAAAGCTGGTGATGACTAAAGATTTTTATTATTTTAATCAACGTGAATTATCCGGACATGTCCATAAAGAAATAATAACACAAAATATGTTCTTTTCTGGTGGCAACAGATGGAAAATTTTACGTCAAAACACGACTGCGTTGTTTTCTTCTGCAAAACTTAAAGGCATGTTCTATTTAATTGAAAACTGTGCAACGAGCTTAGATAAGTTGTTAAACCAAGAAGTGAAAATGACAAAGACCTTAGAAATAAAGTCACTTTTAGCAAGATATACCATGGACTGTATAGGATCATGTGCATTTGGTGTCCACACCGGTACACTGGAAAGTCATTCAAAAACTAATCCTTTTTCAATAATTGGGGAAAAGATATTTGACTCTTCAAATTATGGTGGATTTAGACTCATCACTCGCACAATGTGGCCGGAAATTTTCTACGGTTTACGATTTCAATTGTTCCCAGAAAGTATAAGCACTTTTTTTTTAAGTTTGCTCACTGATGTATTCAAAAGTCGTCAGTATAAAGCATCATCACGAAATGATTTTGTGGATCTCATTCTGACTTGGAAAAATAAAAAATACTTAGTTGGAGATAGCATGTCGAATATGAAAACAAGCCAAAACGATAAAAAAGTAGTGGAATTAGAAATCGATGATACATTAATGATAAGTTTTTGTGTATTATTTTTCGCAGCTGGCTTTGAAACAACATCCATTACGACGAGCCTTTTACTCTTTGAGTTATCAAAAAATCAAGAAGCTCAGACTAGAGTAATCGAAGAAGTTGATGAATACTTTCAAAGGCACGATGGGAAAATCGAATTCGAGTGCATTAACGAGATGCCCTACCTCCAAGCTTGCATGGAAGAATCTGGACGACTCTATCCTGTTTTAGGAATCCTTACTCGGGAAGTTTCAGAAGAATATACTTTACCATCAGGTCTTTGCTTAGAAAAAGGCATGCGTATTCATATACCAGTAAACTATCTCCATTACAACTCAGAATACTTTCCAAATCCCGAAGAATTCCGACCAGAACGCTTTTTTGGTAAAGAAAGGAAAAACGTTAAACAATTTACCTATATGCCCTTTGGAGAGGGGCCAAGGATATGTATAGGTAATCTTATTTATACTATTGCTTTATATTTTGTCATAGTCAAATAGCAAAATAAACTGTTTTATTTGAATTTATTATTCGAAGGTTAGGATATGACTAAAAATAAATTTAATTAAAATGAGCATTATTTAGTTTAAGTGACGGCTATAATTAAAGGCTGTTGCTATTTGTCCGATAATTATAATCGGATGAATAAAAAATATATTTATCCGACTATGGTCGGTTTGTAGGAAGATTTTTGTGTTCTAATGTAAAATAAGTGATTTTTAGGCGCAGGAGTTTCTATATGCAATAAAAACCTAACCTACCGAGCTGAAAACTTATTCTTTTGAATCAGAACGATTTTTAAGTTCGCGATTTTTTATGTATAAAAAGTGATATTTAGGTGCAGGAGTTTTTATATGGAAAAAAATAACATTAACCTACCGAGCTAAAAACTTATTCTTGTAAATCCCAACGATTTTTAAGTTCAAGAGTTTTTAAGGTAAAAATATTATTTTTATGTGCAGGAGTTTCTGTATGCAAAAAAAATGAAATAAACCAACCGAGCTGAGCCGAGTTACTTATTCGACTTACTTATTATTAGTATTTATATATTTTATAAAGGACGAATAATATTTTTTTATTCATCTTTTAAAAGAACGAATAGACACTCCGATAATTAAAGTGTTTCCAAAAAAACTGACCACAAGGGCGCAGATCTCGCAACCTAGATGGCTGCTTTTACTTAACCAGTACTAATTATTGAGTATTTTCTGAATATAAATTTAAAATAATATTTTATTAGATTTAACTATTTATTCATATCGTTTAAAAAAATAAATTTATGTATGTTTTTGTTCCCAGGTCTTCGTTTCTCCAAAATGCCAATGATTGCAGGACTTTTAACAATATTCAGGAAGTATCGAGTCGAATTAAGCAATAATATGGCCACAAAAGTGACGTTCGATCCGCGATCAATCGTTTCCAACCAACCTTTTGGTGGAATTCATTTAAATTTCATCCCACGTCAGATTAATTAAGATGTAAACTTTTGAATTAAATGTAAGAGTAAAACAAAAATATCTTTAGTCCCGTATCCTTAAGTAAAATAAAAGTTAATATAATATGCTTGAGTTTATCAAATATGGATAAATACCAGTTTGGTTGGGTTTGGCCTTGATTTAAAAAAAAACATCAAAAATATTATTATGTCTATAATTATCTTATTAAATTATTTGACGACACGTTTGGCGTTCATTTGTGTGATGATGCCGAATGTTTGTACTCCAGTCATGGGTGTTTATATTTATAATATGTATGTATTTAAAGTTATATATGTATAATGTATCAACTATCTGGTATCCATAACACAAGCCTCGTATATTACCATGGAATTGGATGGTGTTGTGTGTTAATATCCTGAAATATTACATTTATTTTATTTATTTATACTAATACAACATGGTGGACTAAGGTCTGACGCTTCTGGTATTGATTGGAGGCCCACCCCCAGATGTGGGACGTTAAAAAGGCTTGAATACCTTATAATTTTTCTGGCCAGGGCGATTTTTAAAAGATAATGTAGTATTTTTAATGTTTATACATGCTACATTTATATGTAGTTATATAAATTATAGTAATATCTACAATTAAGTCAGAGTTTCATCTATGTAAGGATGATGCGGTATGGTATGGTCACACCGGATCGTTACCGTACAGTAGATGTACTTAACTTAACCAACTTATAATCTGTCTTACCAAAGCTTCTTATGATACCGGAATACAAAGTGTGTATTTATTTTTGAATGTAATGCGACGTTTTCGTCGAATATGCCATTCATGATGTTTATCCTTTTTTTTCTAAAACATAAAATACGTCCGAGTTCACATAGGTCAGTAAAAATAGACGTTTTTTTGGTTAACTTTGCACTGAACTGATCCAATTTTTTTCTTTTATAAGATTTAGGATCACTTACTGAGTATAAAATCACAAAATGCCGACAGATTCCGGCGGAGTTTCAGGCGCCATCTTAAAAAACGTTTTTGGCCGATATCTCGGAAACTATGTACTTTAGGGCAAAAGTTATTAAAATCATTTTTGTAGACAGTAAAATTTTGAATAAACAGGTTTTTCTATCTCGGCCGATAACTCTTAAAATATTGGTTTTATCAATAAAAATGCGGTTCATTAAATGGGCCATAAATCGTAAACGGTAAGTTTTACAAAGTTAAATTCCAATTTTACTGGCTTAACAGTAGCATTGATATATCAACACCTGCAAGGAATAATTTTTTTAAGTCAGTTTTTTAGCTTTGGACTTTAAATATATGAAAAACAATATTTTTGTTTTAAATTATCTCAATGTAGAGTTACAATTGTTGTTTTTTGCAGTGGTCGAATCATTGCACACTAATTATAGTAGTAATGTAATAAAAAATGTTCGTATGTACATTCCACGCTTAAGTGTATCTATATATTACATCTATATTTTTAGCTAAGCAAAAACATTATATACAAAAAATGTAACAGACGTTTTTATAACGATGAAAAAAATCAATGTACAACGTCCTGTAATATCAAAACGTATTCTTTCGGTTTTTAGTTTTAGTTTATTTATAGCATTGCCTAACCTTAAGATGTACTTAGGTATCGCTTATCACTTAAGTAGATTTTAGTAGTCGCATCAAGCAATAAATGACGTCGTGTATCGCAGGACAAAGAACTTTTATTTTCTACTGACTGTCCCATTAGAGTTTAGACAGTGGAAAATATTTTTTCTCAACAATATAAAATTTATTTTAATTATTATTGATCTGAATTATTATCTGTTAATAATAAAGTTTTTTCTCTTTGTGTTAAGTCTTTCGATTCACTTTTTTATTATTTTTGTCACTGAAGCCTTCTTAATTAATTTAAATGTTATTCAAATCTGCTGTTGTTCAGGATACTCCTTTTTTCATTCTTCTGTAAGATCTCCGTGTATAGCATCTTTAGACCAAACCTTCTTTAAAAATTTCAAAGTTGATGATATTACTATACTTTAAATTTGGTAATATGTATGTTGTGATTCGTAACGTACTATTAGTTTTCTATTATGGTGATTGTAGAATGCCATTTTGTCAAAGCTCCCTGATATCTGGGGGCACGGTAGTGCCCCGTCAAGTCGAGCAAAAAAAGGTTAATTATATTGCGAATACCACGATGTTTATCGTTCACTAGCATTACCCGCTGTTTCGCTCGTATTCAAACTTTTAATCGCTGAAGATTGTCTGAAAATTTTATCAAATTTGTCTGAAAATTTCATCAAATTCGCTCCAGCTGTTCTGGATTCCATAGGGAACTTTTATTAATTAATAATATTTAGTGTTGCTATTACTATGATATGTATAACCACAAGGAAATTAAAAATTGAAAATATTTATATATTTCACCGGGTTCGAGTCTCGCTAGCGTCTAGCATCTAGAGGCATTTATTTGGGTTTAGGTCTTCGAGGGATGATTTTTCAAGAAACGTTGAAATATTCTTTAATTGTTATCAAAGGCATAAATATAAATTTGCATATTTCTAATTTGATAAATGTCGGATTCACCATACAAGATTTCATTCTACTACTATACTATTTCATGCATTATATTTTTTTAATACAAAACTGAAGAATCTTCTTCAAGGTCCAATATGTTTTAATATTAAATTTTATGTTTAAAGTTATAAAATATTGTAAGGTACCTGGTGCAATTTTCATTTTGTTATTTGTGGGTAGGGTGTCTGTAACAACTATACCTTTGAGATATCTAACACCTCAGTCTCTCCCGTGACCATGATTGCTGTAAAGCATTCGAAACGTCGGGAACCAAAAATCAAAATAAATCTGCGAAATAATCCGAAAAGATAGTTTTATTTAAAACTCAATAAGGTATTTAATATAGCAGATAAAAATAGTTCATGTCATGTCTGGCTCATATTTAAAGAATTAAATCGAATCGATACTTCGTAGATTCGTCAAAAAAGGCATACTAAAAATTAAACAAGAATGTAAGATCCTAGAAGTACTTTAAATATATTTATCTATACATATAATAAAATTGTAACTAAGCCGAATCTGTAAAATCATCTGTAAAGTCATTAAATAGTTTTTGGAAAATCTTGTTTAAATAGTCATTACTATCGATACAGAGGCCGAATCTATAGTTTTTTATAATTTTTGTCTGTCTGTCTATCTGTCTGTCTGGGAATGCATGACGAGAAAACCACTGGACAGATTTTGATGAAATTTGGTATGATGATAGCTGGTTATCCCGGTCAACATATGGAATACTTTTTACTGTGGGAAAATACCTCATCTCTGAGAAGTCTATACTAAATCTTAAAACGAAACTAGGGACGAACCCGAGCAGAGCGAGGGGAGTCGTTAGTGTTATATAATTTCCTAATATCTGTGGTCGTGTAAAGCTTAACTATCGTCCAAGGATACACTGTAAATGTTTGTCACTGAATGTGTGTAAATCTCTAAAAGTAAACAGTATTTCGTGAGTCTAACTTTATGGGTTTACTTGGATGATATTACCGAAACAATCGTAAAACTTGAATATGAAGTTGAAAGGAATCTGGTTAAACGTACTTTACTTACGAGTTGGGTGCTGCCTCTAAATATTTATGAAAAGACGTCGTATTCATATGCAAAGCTATAGGATAGTCTCTGTAGGAAGTTACGATAAACAAACTCGATAATATATCAAGGTTGGTCTTTTACTTAGTGTATCATGAAGAATTGAATAAAAGTGTGTCAAAAAATCAAAAGTTGTCTTAGCGCTTGAACATTTTTTTTAACCGACTTCCAAACTGTCGGCTGGCACCGACTTCGAAAATATCTGATTAGGTATCAATTTTAAATTAAAACCCCCGTTTAGTTATTTTTTACATTTTAGTGCCTGGAAGTCGGTTTTTATTTTATTAAAGTTTTTATCAATGTTAGTAAATGCATTAAGGTATACAACTGTAGACATACAAGTGGTTATATGGAGACTTTTTGGCTAGAAAATCAAGCTAAAGTAAGACCAAAACAACCACGCGGTTCCTCCCATGGTTCATTCTGTTATTAGAGAAGTACCAGGAGCAATCCACATGGAACACCGCACCACGTTGGGGGTGAAGATATCATACTATGTACTACCGTTAAAGAATAGTTTAAAAATAGTATTGTAATGACAAATTTGATGGTTGTGTTATAGAATCATACCAATGTTTTTTTCGTATGTATTGTTTTAGATTTCTTTTCTTCAAAAGATATAAAATTACTTCTTGTCAAGCTTTCTTCTTCAACTTGGTCTTTTAGCCGAAGAAAAATTAGAAAATAGGCGTATATATTTATTTATTACTTATAATAATTGTAGTAATACATTTCATATGCGGTTTTTGACTAATAATTGTTTAAAATTGTGTATGCCTACAACATATGTATATGTACGTAAAACTTTACATAATATTTTACATTTTGCGACCATAGTTGAGTTTATTTGCAATAAAGCAAATTCATCAGAAAATTAATATTAGTTTCAGTCCCGTGCTCCGATAACAATATGTCGAATAGCGCAAATCTGAAATGAAAATCATCTAATTTTATGATTAATTTGGATATTTAACTGCTTTCAACTAGTAACGGCCTACAGCTCTGTTTACATATTTTTTATAAGTCCTTAATATTTATAAGTATATTATAATATTTATAAGTCCTTAATATTTTTTATACGTCCTCTACTAACACGGACACGCCGGCGTTACAGTTAACAATACATTTTTTAGAAATTTAATTAATTTCTTAGAAATTTACCTGGAGGTCTTAATCACAATATTTTACTCTTATTTTATGGGGTAATGCTAATGCACTACACCACACTCTATACTACACGCGTCGTACTCGATGAGTTAATACTTATTACTTAAGTATGTAATACTTTCTTAGATTTACGCGAATGTTTGACATTTTTAAATAAAACGATTTTTTCGGATTATTTCGCGGATTTATTTTGATTTTTGGTTCTCGACGTTTCGAATGCTTTACAGCATCCATAGTCACGGGAGAGACTGAGGTGTTACATGTCTTGAAGGTATAGTTGTTACAGACAATCTACCCACAATTAACAAAATGAAAATTGCACCAATTACATTACAATATTTATTTTTAACTTTATTATAATTTTTTTTTTTATATATATATATATATATATATATATATATATATATATATATATATATACTCATGAAAGCAGATGTTAGTTTAAATTAATTAGATATTTTAGAACAATTTACAATTTAACATTTACGCAAAAATCTACATGGTACGATTTTTCATATCATGGTTTGCCCCACTAGAGAAAGGGATTTATACTAGGAAAATAACCTACTAGTATGATGACATTTGTGAATTAACTCGACAAAAAATCACCCCTTTTAAGAGTTTCCGCAGAATTATAAATGAGAATGAAATCTAACAACACTACCTAAGGATAGATTTTTTTTATTGGTATGGTAATTATAACGAGAAATACCTACAAATACGCGTAGGAATCGAACCTAACTTTATAGTGGGAATCTTATATTACATATTTCACTAAAGTTGTAATATAACTTCATAATTCAAGCCCAATTAAACATGTAAATGTTTGGAGAGCAATAGAGCAAATTATTCGGGAAATTTATGTTAGTGCTGCACTCTGCGGCTTCCGATAAGAGTATGCTGAATGTTGGAATACATTACGATCTGCAAGGTAATTATGTTAAACAGTGCTTTAATTATAATAATAAAACTTTTATTGATATAATGTTAATATCTTTATGTACTGCTTTGAGAGTTTTAGAGAGTTTTTATAAAGGAGCTTATATTCTACCCAAAAATCCTTTCTTAGTGGATGTTTACATAATTGAAATGCATCAACTGCCAAAATTTCAAGTTTTTAACCCCTGTGGCTTAGGCTCTGCCTTGATAAACAGCCAGGACAAGTAATTTTATATATGTATATAATTATATAGATATACTCAATCTGATCAAATACTCAGGCCAGGCCAAATCTAATCAATATACTCAGGCCCATGAAGGACTTATTCACCTTTTGGAATCAAAATCTAGGCGTAATAAGTTTATTTTTATTCCTAGTTTTTATTGTGTGTCTATCACTGCTTTTCAAATAATTATTTAGATTTTATGTACAAACAATACATAACACAATACACAGTATATATGAGTTTAGTAACAGGAGTAATATTAAGAAATTGAAACATTCAACAATATCGAATATCGATTTATTTTACGATTAGGCAAAAATTACAATAGTCATTGTATGTGCTCTTCTCTTTATTACTCTGATTCCTTCTGCCCTTCTCGATTTCTTATCCAATTTTAAATATAAAAACTTGTAATTTGTTAAAATATTCTACATATTATTACCGAAAGGTTTTGAAAATAATAATAATATTATATTTTTTAATATTTTTTTTTTCTATATTTTATTTTAAAACGAAGTAATACATTAATAATCTACACGAGTGTAAAAATTTGTACATAAATAGAAATTATTGTGAACGACGAATGAAATCTAAATGAATACCACCGATAGGCTGGGTAACGATCACTCGCGGTTCGAAAGATACATTTTTAGCCATTTTTTCTCCTAATTTTATTTCATAGTTTCTAAATATTGTTAAAAGTCCAGCAACCATCGGCATTTTTGCGAATCGAAGTCCTGCAAAAAAACAAGGATTACTAAATTGATATGATAATATTAGTTATTTTTGCAACTATATTAGGACATTAGGATAACAGCTAACATGGGCTGGATCACCACAACATTGAAAAACTGATCCATAAAAGTCTCAAGGATTGGTATGATGTGAGGCTGTTTAAAATAATTGTTATTTTTATATTAACACTATCAACTTACCCTTGCTTCGTGCGTCTCTATAATAATAATAAATTCTTTATTGACATAATTTTTACATACACAGGTGATTAAGAATTCCCTAGCCCCTGCGCTCGTTAAAAACTGTATTGCAGGAGCCAGTGTCATCCCCATATGATTAATGACAGGTTATGCCAACACAGTGATATATGTAGGTACAGACAACAAGAGTAACATTAAGAAAAAAAATTAGCACACAAAAAAAAAATAATAATAATAAAAAATAACAAAATGAAAAAAAAGTATGTGTGTGTGTTTGTGTGTGTGTGTATGTGTGTGTGTGTGTGTGTGTGTGTGTGTGTATGTATAAGTGAGTGTGTGTTTGTAGATACTATATAGCATTTTTTATAATTTCTTCTGTCGCATCAATCTAAACTTTTCAGCCAGGTAATTAAAATTTTTTTCAGCTTATTGTTAAGATGCTTCTTAACTTTATATTTATTATTAAAAATATTATAAATACGTGGAGCCACAACAGTGAAGTGCTTTTTAGCAAAGGACCCAACAGTACCCTATGTATTTATTATGTCAAGTTATAGTTTATTGGCATTACTAAGTTTTATCCAAATCTGTTCAGTGGTTAGCATGAAAGAGTTTTTTTTTGTTCGGGTATTTATTTAAAATGTAAAATTTGAATTTATATTTAAATTACATTATATAAAAATTACCTATACATATCCTTGGTCCCTCTCCAAATGGCATATACGTGAATGGCTTAATATTTTTCTTTTCATCACCAAAGAAACGTTCTGGTCGGAATGTTTCGGGTTCTGGAAAGTATTGAGGGTCGTGATGGAGATGGTACACTGGAATATGAATACGCATGCCTTTTTCTAGTCGAAGACCTGTCGGTAACACGTATTTTTCTTCAACTTCCCGAGTAATAGTCCCTAAAACGGGGTATAATCGTAAAGTTTCATCTATGCAAGCTTGGAGGTAGGGCATCTCGTTAATGCACTCGAATTCTATTTTGCCATTGTGTCTTTGAAAGTAATCATCAACTTCTTCGATTACTTTAGTCTGAGCTTTTTGATTTTTTGATAACTCAAAGAGTAAAAGGCTCGTCGTAGTGGATGTTGTCTCAAAACCAGCTGCAAATAATAATACACAAAAGCCTATGAGTAACGTATCATCGATTTCTAATTCCGCTGACTCTCTTTTGCATTCGCCCGATTTCATATTTGATATACTATCTCCAACTAAGTATTTTTTGTTTTTCCAGTTTAGGACTAGATCTACGAAATCATTTCGTGATGATGCTTTATATTGTCGGCATTTGAATACATCAGTGAGAAGACTTTTAAAAAAAGTGTTTATACTTTCTGGAAACAATTGCAATCGTAAACCGTAGAAAATTTCTGGCCACATTGTGCGAGTAATAAGTCTAAATCCACCATAATTTGAAGTGTCAAATAACTTTTCCCCAATTACTGAAAAAGGGTTCGTTTTTGAGTGACTTTCCAGTGTACCGGTGTGGATACCAAATGCACATGTTCCTATACAGTCCATGGTATATCTCGCTAATAGTGACTTAACCTCTATTGTTTTTTTCATTTTAACTTCATGACTTAATACATTATCTAAACTAGTAGCACAGTTTTCAATTAAATAGAACATATTTTTAATTTTTGATGAGGTAAATAATGCTGTCATATTTTGACGTAGTACTTTCCACCTATCACCTCCAGAGAAGAACATATTCTGGGTGATTACTTCTTTATGAGTATATTTGGATACTTCTCGATGGTTGAAAAAGTAGAAATCCTTAGTCATCACCAGCTTGATAATATTAGGATCCTGGATGATCAAAGCAGGATCTGTCCCATAGTAAGCGCCGATGTAAGATTCATGGGGAAAATGTTGGCAAATATCCTGTGCGACATGTGGTCCATACTTTTTCAATAATATGTATTCTCGATAATTACCAAAAAATGGCAAAGGTTTTAAATGTGGAACCTTCCTTTTTTCCCAGTAATTATTATTTTTAGTAATTTTATAGTAAAATAAATATAACACTAAACCAATTACTGCGAATACCGGATACAAGACAATCATGTTGAAAGTCATAAATAAAAATACTTGAATTGTTACTTGTTCTTCTTAATTATATACAGTATGAACGTTTTCAAAGGAAGAAGGGAGACCATATTTAACGTCCCTTTATGTTCAAAATAATATTTAATTATTGTTTTAAACATTAATTACTATAAGTTTTTAGATATAATTAGAGTCTATCCTTTCTTATAACACATTGTGTTAATTATTAGTTCATTAGGAATCAATAATAATTCGATATCTGCGATAAACTTTATCTTTAAATTAACTAACAATTATGATTTAAGTGTTTTTTACTGAAACGATATTTCAATAGTTAAATAAAAAAATGATATTTATAAAAAATCTCTCCAACCCTCCAACTCTTTCTCGTATTAACTCTTGTTGTTAATCTATTACTTAAAAACAAAACAGTTCAGAACTTTTTTATCTCCTCTTTAATTGTTTATGTGATTTTTTTTGTTCAGTAGATATTGACGTATTATTGTTGTGCGAGTTGTAGATTACGATCCGTTCTCAAACTTGATAATTTGATTACAAAACATCGACTTTTCCGTATTCTTTTATTGACCGAGCGAGCAAAGTAAGCGAAGCTTTAAGTCTGGCAAAATTTGGTTTTCTCTGACAGTTTGCTGGTGATCTTCTACAGGTTTACATACAGGTGTTACGACTTTATACAATTTTTTTGTCATCGTGGATTTTTGATTGCAGAAGGTTTTCGTCCAAAAAGGGGCAAAAAGGGTTACTGGATATATGCGCTTTATAAAATCCGATTTCGATGTTTTTTTTTATTTGAAAGGTAGTTATTTTAAATTGGTCTCATAGAAATTAGATGAAGGTTTGACGAGTGTCTTCGACGTGATGAGCAGGATAGCTCCACAGTTTGTGGTCGCGAAGTCTACGGTTTACAGAATTACTAGTATATAAATATAGATATATAATATGCATGGATTATACATGCAAGATTTCCAAAAACAACCTCAATGAAAGTGAAAATAATATAAAAATATAAACTAACAAATGGAAGGACAAAATATCGATTTTATTTTATACTAGCGACTGACATTCACTTTGCTTGTGTGCTTCTCTAGGGGCCTAATGTTACTCCAGGTTTATAGTACTCGTATATCCATGTACTAAACTCCATTCAAATTCATCCAGCCGTCACAATTATTTACATACCAACATTCGGATTTATTAGTCTGACTATTTATTTAGTAAGATAAATACAATAAGTATGTAGTTAAGAAAAATGTCCGGTAACTTCAAATTTTAGCGTCACTCTTGTTACAAGATTATAAACTGTCAACAATAACAGCTAAATAGGATATATTATAAAAGCAATTAGTATTGATGTAAAACACAGTAATTTATTAACACAATAACTATACCAAAAATATATAATTTTTAATAAAAACCGACATTCAGACAGTGAAAAGTAAAATATTACTGAACGGGGCCTTTTTATTTACCAAATCAGATTTTTTCAAAGTCGGCATCGTTATACCTAACGGCTAACAATTTAAAAATATATATATTTGTTATTTATATTTTTTATTAGTATATTTCATTACTTGACAAATCAAGTAATTTTAAATTGTCAAACTCAAAGAGTTGTTATTATTATAATTTAGTACCTGGGCGACAGAGCTTCGCTCGGAGTTCTCTTTTATTATATCGTATTTTTTAGACAAAAAAACTAAAAACTTAAATAAATTAAAGAAAACAAAAGTAAAAACTTCGTATCCGACGGGATCCAAACCCGGACACCTGTGAAAGACCTGTGTTTGTCAATCTTGCGCCTAGGCCGCTTGATCACGATACTTATGCCCGAATGTGCGAAATTGGCAACCATATTTCCGTAAATAGATGAATAGATTTTTTTGATTTATAGCTAAGAAGACTCTCGACCAAGTCATCTTTAAAACAAAAATTAATCATAATCGGTTAATCCGTTTGGAAGTTAACCGATTTTGATTTATATTTTTGCCACTGACAGACACACAGATACACCCGTTAAACTTATAACTCCCCTTTGTACGCGTCATAGGTAGATAGAATGAATACCTGTCATAGTGAGGTATTTTTTATTTTATATACCCAACCACGATTCTCCGATGACTGCCAGATCTTCTTCATAACGACCAGGGGGTTGTTTGCACAGCCCACTATCTATCAAGTAATAATATTCTATCAAAGTACGGTCTATCGCACGGTATAGGTATCTTAAAAATCACTGTGCGTCTCTCTTTGCTTCACGCCCACATGAAGGAGCCCACAGGAGACACGTTTTTATAAGTAACAATAACAGTTATTTTGTATATAAACAAATACGTAAATTATAAAATTCTGAATTTAAAATAATTATTAAAAATCATATCCCAGGCAGTAAAAGTCATAGACATCAACTAAAGCAATAGATAATGATCTGAGGATGTGTCAAATTAAATAATTATTAGGATCATTACATTTTTTGCTTCGTAATTTCGTAAGTTTACAGTAAAAAAATTTTTTTTCAGTTGGCAGTTATAAACAAAATACCGTCCTCGCTTCAGCCTCTAATTATGACATACGCGTTCTGTAAGGGGACTTAGACAAGGTGTCGTTAATATATGGGAATCACAATATACTGATTCTATGACATAAAGATTTTTGTCATTTCAATATTTTTTTACTATTCTACAAAGATGTTAGACTGACATATGTATACACTAGCATTGCCCGCGGCTCCGCCCGCGTTCAGATGACCAAAAACCAAATTCTTATGCTTTACATAATATTAGTATAATTTACATTGCAGTTTTTGTATTTTTTCTCAGAAATGAGATTTTTCCCGCGGTAAAAAGTATCCTATATGTTGACCCGGATAATTAGCTATCACCATACCAAATTTCATCAAAATCCCTCCAGTGGTTTTTCTGTGATGCGGTAACAGACAGACAGACAGACAAAAATTCTAAAAACTATAGATTCGGCCTTTGTATCGATAATAATGTCTATTTAAATAAGATTTTTCAAAAAATATTTAATGAACAGATTCGCCTTACTTACTTACTTACTTACAATTTTATTATACGTTTAGATAGGCTCCAAGATCATTTAATTAAATTGTGTCATAATACTTCTTTGCCATAGAGAAAAAATACTATATGCTAGCATATTACAAACAGATGCTAAAATAAGTTCTAATCTGTAAATATAAATGTGGCAATCACGCTTACTACTAAATATTTTGAACGTAAGATTTAAAAACATGTTGTTAGGTCTTATTACATTTTTATATCAATCATATCTGATTATGGCATTAATCAAAATTAAGTGACATATTAATTATTAATGAGACGAGGAGAACCCGCAAAGGTAATATTATGCATTAAACTTTGTCTTTGATATTTATAATTTACGTTTGTGACTTGATTCAAACACATTGATATATCATAACACCTCCAGGTAAATTTCTAAGAATTTAATTAAAATTCTAAGAAATCTATTGTTAACTGACACGCCGGCGTGTCCGCAGTCTTGGAGGGATTAAATATAATATACTAGGTAGTAGATACTTACCCTCGCTTTCCTCGAGTGCTTCCATAGTTATAAAAACATACATACACACACGTGCGCACACACATACACACACACACACGCACACACTTACACACGCACCCACACAATAGGGTAATACCCACCTGCGTAGTTGTTACGGCTAGAAGTGTTCAACTTATTATGGCTTTTGCCCGCAACTTTGTCTGCGTTTTTGATGATAGTCAACTACTATCGTTGTCTTTTGCATAGGTTATAATTTCTATAAATTAATTTCTTAAAAGTATGATTGGTTTACCGATTTTTAATAGTAGTTCGTGAAGTAGCAAATGAATTCAAAGAATTTAATCATTTTTGTATCGTGGTGTCTTGCGGTACATACACATGTGTTATCTAATACTAGGTATTATTTTATATTATCTATACATATAATAAAATTGTAATTAAGCCGAATCTGTACATTAAATATTTTTTGGAAAATCTTATTGAAATAAACATTATTATCGACACAGAGGACGATTCTACAGTTTTTAGAATTTTTGTCTGTCTGTCTGTCTATCTGTCTGTTTGTCTGATACTCATTACCGCGGGAAAATATCTAATTTCTGAGAAAAAATACAAAAACTGCATTGTAAGAGTATACTAATATGTATAACCTAAGAATTTGGTTTTTGGTCACCTGAACGCGGGCGGAGCGGCGGGCAATGCTAGTCTCATATACATTGTAACCAAATGACATGAATAGGTCGACTAATATTATCTCTTTTAAGTACTTGTGATGATAAAATAACATATTTTTATTTATATTATTATAAGGATCAATTGTTTAAAGTACAAAGAATCCTATATACATATTCTAGTCAAAAATCTTCTTATATACAAAAAAAAAAAAACAATTATATCTTAAGTGTCGCCAATAGTCTCCCACTGCTATTATTATAGTACAAATTATATACATACATACGTACATAATATGTAGTGACAGTAATAAGCTTATGATATGTTATTATATAACGTTTACTGGTCTTCGGATTTTCATAGAAGTAAATCTGCCAGTCATTTAAGATTGTTGTGGAATATTTTAATTTTGTTTAATGCCTTTAAAATATATACTATTAAGATGATAACAAAGTAACAAGTTAGTCATTACGTTTTCTTGTAGGTACATGTTTGTAAATGTTGCATTGTAATTGGACTGCTATTATAAATGCAATTTTTTGTTTGTATGCTTTTTACTCCTTTGCCAAAGGTAACGTTACCTGTTCGTACGTTCTATTCTAATAAGCTTGCTTCGCTCAGCTACTAATTTCCCAAAGAAATCGCTTAATATATTTAATATATTAAAAAAAACCGACTTCCAGGCACTAAAATGTAAAAAATAACTAAACGGGGGCTTTCATTTAGAATACGTACCTAATCAGATATTTTCGAAGTCAGTGCCAGTTGACTATAAGTATACC